TTTCGATCCTGCAATACACTAGGCCGAAAGCCGCGGTTGGGGCCCTGGCCCCCGCCGGGGCGAAGTGGGCCCCGCGGTAGAATCATGTATTAGGCGGGCGATTGAGCCGCTGGCGCGGATGTTAGCGATGCTGCTTTATTATTTGTAGGGATTTGAGGAGTCGTTGTGCCAACAGCAAGGGCAGTACAGTATATGTGTAGCACCATTAGAGACGTACCGTGATCACGACAGCGTACAGAAGCAGTGTAGCCCGTGGCGGTACATGGTGAGATTTTCCGTGTGCACGCAGCAGCCCCATAAGTGGAGGTTCGACCACATGGTTGTTTTTGCAAGCCAGCAGGTCGACGACAGCAGCAGCGAGGAAGCCAGCGAAGTCAGTAGCAACGATCACCCCGACAGCGAGGATGACGATGCCCATAGCCGCAGCAATACCGGACCCAGCCATGTGACCGGTTTGCAAGGAGCATGTCTGGCGTTTTGCATCGAATTGTGAAATCAGACCATGTGCAGTCGCGATTGCCAGAATCACCTGATTCCATGATATGGGAAGGTGACATCATCAGCGCTAGCCCTATAGACGTAGCTTTAGAATTCGCTCGAAGCTCCGCAAAAACGTGTACCACAAACTTCTGCTTTCTGCGGCAGAATGGCGCGCATTGAGCAGTCAGATGAAGCCTTACTAGAGGGTTTACGGGACATTGTAAGTACGCGACCCCAAGTCACAAATCTGATTAGCACACTGAGTAACAATCCAAGATGGACGAGCGCGACCTGAAGCTTGATCAATGGAGGGACTGTACTCCATCAGACCAAATAGAAATAGGTGGAAGCATTGTTGCCTTGATCATTAGATCGACAGGGAAAAGAGGAGGATTAAGGGTTCACTTAGAGGGAGATACGAAAATGGACTATGTGAAAGAGGCATCAGACAACACAAGTACTTTGCTCTCAATCAAGTCTGCAAAGGCAATAGACTTGTTTGGTCATCTATCAATACGAGCGTGTCGTCGGGCTTGAGCATGGTATGAGAGCTCCGTACGTATTCTAGAAGCACCGCACTTAAGGAGTACGATAGGCTGATCCGTCCTCCTCTTAGTACAATATATGGCGGTGCTGTGGGCTCTCCGTACTCGACGACAATGTGGAGTGGTTCGTTTTCATTTGTCCACTGAAGAAACTTCGCAAACTGCCATGGGCTGACTTCGTATACCTGCTGCGGACGATGATCAACTAGAGGGTGTGCGTCCGAACTCGTGTCCACTGTGTCCGTGCAGGACCGCCGGTTGGAGTTCTCGTCCAACCTCTGCTGCTGATGTCTGAGGTCTTCAAGACTTTAGCGTCGGTTATGTGGCTTGCCCTCCAGCTTTTGCTTACCTTGAAATTCAAACACATCTGTCGCATCCTTGAACTCCGTGAGAAGATCCATTATACTTCCTGCGACGTACGCAGGCCAAGCCACATGTTCGTAAGCCCTCGCTTTGCATAACAGTGCACTAAACACATCTCCAGACATTTGGTTTCTAGGGCGCCACCATTGGTACGGATAAGCGATGCACCAGAAGACCATTCTATCGCGGTCTAGTCCGCGAACATCTTCTGCTCGTGTGTGCTGTCTTGCCCGTATCTGTATAAAATTGTTGCGGAAGTACGGTGATACTCGACCACGACTTCTCCATGTCTCGACTCTGCGTACGCCTTCTTGATGTGTTAAGTCGGCGCTTTTCAGGAAGGGCATGGGTTTCATGCTCGGTAATCAAGCTTGGGAGCAAATACACATGAAGCGGTGCGAAGTATGCGTAGAACAAGAGAGGCAAAGGAGGCAAGGGATGCCTAGAATGTAATCGATGCGAGCGATGGAAGGGCTGCGAGAGGTGCAAGGGGTGCAAAGGATGTCGGGGATGCAACCCTGACGTGGGGGATGCTAAGGATGTGGGGGCTTCAAAGGATGCAGAGGAAGCGAGCTGAAGGGATGCAAGGATGCAGGGGATGCAAGGCATGCAAGGCATAGGGTTGCAAAGGATGTGGGGGCTAGCAGTTCTCAGAGCTCCAAGCTCTGACTTCGATTCTGCACGTCGCTTGAAGCACAGTATATATGAGCAAACGCATCGTCCTTCAGAATAAGGCCGCGTGAGCATTCTGTTGATCCAGCACACACTCGACTTGTCACTTGTTTACCATGTCAAAATGGACGCTTCATACGATAACGGAAGCTGCTACAGATGCATACACAGCGATGATGCAGCCCCGTGCGGGGGAGAATCTAGTCCGGGATTTCGTGGACGAAGTCATCGACGCTTTTATCGAACAGTCACCATACGCGCTTCGTCGTAAGGCCGAGCAACCACCAGATCTCAATGTCTTCTCCGAACATCGCAAAAAAAGAGTTGATATCATACTGAACTCCTTCATCAATCAGAACAAGACGAGATTCGTTCTCATTTTCACGGAACTCAAGAAGCCACCTGTCAGAGGCAGGAACCCGGAAACCACCGATATTGTGACTGTCGAGCAGCAAGCATACGACGCCTGCAAAGCATACATCGATTCGCCGGATTGTCCCGTCTCTTTGGTCTTTGCGTGGTGCGTTGTAGGCCCGCTCTCGCGGATGTTCAAATACGCTCCTGACACCGCAAATACTTGGGAATCTCTCTGGGGAACACAAAAGGCGTACGACTTCACTCAATACATCGACGCTGCGAGGCCAGAGAGTATAAGGATATTTAATACTTTCAACGCTATCCTAAGCTCGCACCCGGTGGAGTTGGCCAAGAAGGCTTATCTGTAAGTGTCTAAATTGCCTCCTGTGGGTAGTCGTTGCAACACGGACTAAGGAACGTTAGGACACCTAATCTTCCTCAACGAGACACTCAGTTTGTCTTGCCGAGTCAACCCACTGTCAATGTCGCGCGGCCAATGGCTCAGTTTGTGCGGGACGTTCCGCCTGTTGCTTCCTCCTCGAGACAACCCCAGAACCAGACACAACTGCAGTCACAACCACCACCGCAAATGCAATCGCAACTACAACCACAACCACAAATGCAACAAACGCGAGCCACAGTTGAAAGGCTTCGACAAATGGGCTATCCCGTCACGTCAAGTAATGAAGGATATTCGATTACTTGTACCGTAAATAGGATCCAAAGCAGAATGCGGATTCACTTTGGAGAGAGCGTCTTGATATTCGATCCTGTTGAGAATATATGGGCCGCCACACGGTTTTGGCAAGACACACTCTATGTGTATACTCGAGGACAATGGATAGCGTTGGGCAAGAGCAGCTAGGCGGATGCATTATGTGCGATTTTTCCTCCTCACGATTTCTAGCCTGCAGAAGGGCATCTAAACCAATAAATCAAGTCGAGTACCGTACTCTGTTCTTTAGTATAGAATTCAAGTGAACAGGATTTAATCTTAGTCGTTTTCGCCTGTCTGCACAAAACGTATACTCAAAGTCGGTTGAAATTTCCGTGGTCTATCAGTGTTTCTGCCTAAGGCAGAGAGATCTTCTTAGTCAGCGGGTGGGCGTCCAAGCTTTAGGCGCAATTTGTGTCGCATTCCTGTCCAGAACCACTTTCTCTACTGTTTAGACACAACTGGGGCGAAATGTACGATTGCGACGGTCACGATTCCACCGGAACAGCATGTGTCCTTTGCGAAACGGCTGTGCCACCATTTGGTGATCCGCCTTTGATTCTCTCAGGATTTGAAGGCCCTATTCTCTCTGGGACAACGACGCCTCATGATCAAGGAAGTGCTTTGCACAAAGGCTGCCTCGAAACTATCCGAAAAATTTTCCAACGACGTAAGAAATTCGATCTCACCCGGAGGTTATGGCTTCTTCAACGTACCAGGTCACTTTTATGGCCGATCAGCTCAAGTACGCGCCACACATGGGTCAGACAGTTCGCCGGGCGATCTGTTAATGAGCTTGTGAGAACATCCGAGGTTTTAACGGAGCTGGGATACCACATGAAACGGCTACCAAAGGAGATACTCGAGCATATCGGGGGATACTCCCATCCAAGCTCTTTGACAGGTTTCGCGATCTTGCGCCAAAATGCCCTCTTCATCAATATGTGCGAGGTCGACGAGAACCTGTCTCGCATTATAAGCCTACCCGACGGAAGGCTCTCTGTATCGTTTCGCAGAATCTTTCAGCACACTTATGTCGCTGATGTCGCGCCAGTCGAGGCTCGTCCAAATGATACCACAGGCTTCCTTCTTTGCACCGATGGTATAGCTTGTCAAGATGTCAAGCGTGCAGACCGTATACGTTACCGGGAAGGCCAATGGTATAGACACGTTCGTGCGACTGGCGGTGACAAACTCCTCCTCGTGTACAAGGTATGAATGTCGGAGCTCGAGAAGACTTAGACAGGTCTAACAACTTTTAGGGCATCTGCCTTCAGGACATCCTCAACCTTCGCCTTTACCAAGAATCCTACCTATACGATCAAACGAAACTACCAACTTTACAATCGGAACACTGCTTTGGTCTCCCTGCAACAGATCTTTCTTTGGATCAGCTAATCGAAAACCCAATACGCTTAAGACAAACATGCCTAGAGGGCAATCCTTTTGGGATCATTGTAGCTTGTTTAGGGTCCACGATAATCGCGCTTCGCGCTCATCACGGAGCATCCAACGACTTGGATGTATACAAAAGGATCGATGAGATGCCCTCGGGAAAGAGGGTAAAATGGTTTTACCATTCCTTACAGCCATTTGAGAGAGTGGTGGAAATTGTAGTGTGCTACACTCAATCAATTGTGTCAGCACTCTGCGAAAACAGCCTTTGCGTAAAGAAGCGCCTACTGTAAAGCTATCATGTATCGTTGCTAACTATTGACAGCTCTTGACTTCATACGGACGAGTGTTCCGTTGTGGACATTACATAACACCGGCAAAGCTTGAGCAATATCGTTACTGTACTCTCGTTAACGACGAAAGCTTGTACGTTTCCGAGATTTATCTCGCGGACAGCTATGGTGTTAGTAGGACCTTGCGTGCGGGTGCGGTATGTCAGCAAATTCATCGGGATAGCTCCAGGACTGCAATGAACCTTTGGAATATCGTGGAGTCACCCACCTCTATACCCAAAGCTGTTGGACATGGCCATCGCTACTTTGGAAGAGTCAACGCCTCACTGTTCTCTAGTTTTAGTATTTGCGTTGAAGAAGGAGATGTGTCATCCTGTCTAGGCATACGATTCCATGGAAATATCGAGCCAACAGTAATTGGGCAATGGCGACTGGACAGGGCCATGATTTCTGGCGACCTCCCTACAACTATCGGCTTGTGCAATAATATGCACTACGGGAAAAGTTTCGTTGCGATCACTCGCATATCGCAAGCTTCTGAATCGATTAGCTTGGCAGGTATACTGGAATGGTGGATAGGTCCCAAGGGTAGTGAGATTGTAAGCTGCCTAAATTGACTTCCTTAGGAGCTATTATAAAGTTCTACTTCCTAGCCAATATGATGGTTCCTAATTAGTCGTCCTTTCCTTGCGCCTGAGCTACGATCCATTTTCGCCCCTCTCCCTTCTCCTCTGCTTTCACCACGAATAGGTGCGCAACTAAGCTAAGGTCCAAACCCATAGCCGCCGTCCCCGGAGACAGAAACATCTTTACCCTTACGTATTACGATAGTACGCTGTTCAGTGCAAATGGTCATTGCTCAAGACTTTTCTGGAGAGCGACCATGCTCTAGTAGAGATTCCGCTGTAGTCTTGTCCCCAGGAATAAAGAGATCTCGCTGGAAAGTTCATCCCCGGCCCGGGGGACAGCAGAGGTCTTGCTGTGTGCACGCTTGTCACCAAAGGCAGCATGTATCTTTTTTTGCACAGGTAATTTTCACGTCCAGGCGCTGTCTTAAGTCATGTCAATTGGCAGTCGGACAGCTTTTGCAAAATGTAGTGGAGCAGCACGCCCTGTGAATGTCGCGCTATATGAGACCGAGATTGAGCACGTGACCGGTGAGAATCGAAAGGCTGAACGTATGAATCTTAATGCCTTCTCGATTTATTGCTCTTTCGTGGACGTGGGATCCCTCCAGACACGAGAGCGACAAGGATGGCAATTACTGGGTTGAGCATAGTCACACCGGAAAGGTGGTAGGGATAAGAGTCAGGAACTGTATTCTTGATCGAGCGACCAGGTACCTCCTCTCCACGGGCTTCGACATCTTCTGGATAGACAAAATATGCATCAATCAGGACGATCACGATGAAAAGCAAGAGGCTATGAACTCCATGGATATATTCTACAAACATGCGATGAAGTCCATTGCCTTGCTATCTACCACCCGGCGGACCTGCTAGACGAGATGCGTAAGCGATTTATGGTCCACGGGTCTAGATCGCCGTTCCATTGGGCGAGCCGGCTCCGTGTATTATATACGGGAAGAAAGTCCGCGAATCGACTACATGCCTAGGATATATCGAATGGTCGGACGATGGGACATCCGTCTCGTACAAGGACGTCTTAAACCTCCATGAGGTCTCGAAGGCACAGGCACAGTTAGAGGAGCTGCTCCTCGTCCACCCCGAGGAGCGACGGGAGGACCTAGGCCTACAGTTCTGAACGCACCGTATTGCCGACAGCGCCGTCGAGAACCGCAAAGGCTGGAACTTCCTCCAGTGCGAAGAAAACACGCAGGGCCCCCTACCAGTGCGCGAGAACTGGCTCCTTGAGCGCGTTCTTACAAACATGTGGCTCCAGGACGAGTTCATACAAGTCGGTAGTGCTAAGCAGACGCCGAGGTGGAGCAGTGCCGCTGTTCAAGCATATAAAGCTAAAGTGGACTGTTTCCTCGAGCGCCTGCTCCTCCTCATGCACTCGTATCGCCCGCGGCGTCGGCAAGCTTCTCCTATGCATAAGCCAAACACTGCGCATGCTTATCTACGCATACTAATGCCTGCTGCAATAGACTTCTGAGATTTTGTAAGTCGTGTGCACGCAGCATCACAATGTGCCTTATTCATTCTCCTCGCGCAACCAGCGAACAACACTCCGGTATCTCGAATGCCGCTGCATTCGTCGCAAGAGAAGTGAGAGAATTGTATGAAAGAACTCGACCCTTTCACATGCGTCCTTCAGATTGAATGAGACTGAGCGGTAGACGTTGATAGGGCTGCCGTCTTGTGTGAGGTCCAATGCAATAGATGAAATTCGCGCCGGAGTAATGTCCATTTGGGTAATGTAAGCAGTGAGGTGGTGCCAAGATACCAAAAAAACACAATCGCTCACGTGAACCTTGGTCGGATTTTCGCTTACTCTCGCAGAAGCGACGCAAAGAAGGGTGCATACTTCTTGCCCCAACAGTTGGTGGAAAGTGCGGTTGTGCATCAAACGTTTGAACTACACTTCTGGTTAAATAAAAGGAGTATTCCCGCCCAAAGTAGACCTCACCTCGACCGGAAGCTTGGCAAGCTTCCTATCTGACCTTCCTAAGGTAGCAGCTACTTGTATCGACAGATCTACTTTGCTAGTACATGCTGCCCCACCAACACTAACGACCATACGATCCTCTGCGGGCATATCATGATGTAAAGACATCGGAGAAGCAGGGCAAGAAGAGAGTTTGGCCAAAATGGTGCCCATGGCCGAAAAGAAGTTACTGCCAGTGACCACAACCTCTGATTCAGATTTGTCTTCGGTGTATCTGTATTATTCGACGGACTGGCACCAGCTATCAATAGCGCTCGACGGACGTTTTGATCTGGCCAAGACAGCCCTCGTCAATGCACAAGAGCTTCGACCACAGATCCGGCGGCCGGGCTACCCACAGACCATTGTCGCCTTGCTCATAGCTGCTGTGATCGACATGTCCGGAGAGCCGGACGCCCAGGAAGCGTCGGACGCATCAGAGTCATCTGCATCCGACGAAGATTCGTGGCGCGCGGGAGCGCCCAACGGCGGCATGCAGTGTTCAGCTGTCAATGTCAGCTTCGCCCTTGTCTCATGTACTGCGCTAGTCGGACATACAACGCATAGCAGGTGCTGATTGATTGAACAATATTCACCTTTTCAACCGCAAAGTCATCATCTGGGATCCAAACGTTGAGCCGTCTCCTCAGTTTTTCAAAGTACTCAGACTCATGATCGGGTCCTGTTCCTTGCAGGTTTGAAAGACTTGCGGCCTCAAATATTGGAGGGTACAGTCCCGCTGTAGACCAATCCAATATCGCTATGGTACCATTGGAGCATTGCAATAGGTTTCTGGGCGCAAGCTCCTGATGGCAGAGGGATAAAGGCATACCTGTAAGCCGCAGCTGATGGTCTTTCCACTTTCTTTTCAAAGACCTCGGGCAACGACGTAGCCTTCTGTTGAGTGCTTGTTCGAGATCATCGACTGTGGAAAATGTCGTGTCTGCGGTGTTGTCACCCCATGGGAAACCCTCGGCAAGATTGCCGGATAAAGGGCCTGGTCGAGTCAAATTGTCTGCAATTGACAATGACTTTGAGTAGAGAAGGAAAACGGCTCGTGCGACTTTGTCGACAAGCTCGAGCATCGTCGCAGTTCCCATGGAGTCAAGGCATTCACCAGGAACATGTTCCATTATCAAGTATCCGGATGGAACCCCGTCGTGTCCAAGAGCCTTCATGAAGCGATAAGGCTGCGGAATCTTGACCTCATTCCCGTTGAGCAGGGTCCATGCAAACAGCTGGTTCGTATATTCATCCTCACGTAGGCCCATGCGGATTTTGGCGATGACTCCGTTTGCGAGCCTTTTGACTGATGCATCCCGACCCGATTGGGTTGGCAAGGTAGCACAGTAATTAACGATGTCTTGTTCGTCGCATTCGATGAAGTCTGTGGGTGTGCTCTGCCAGGAGAGGGTGGTGTGCGACATGAAGGCAGAAGTTTGCAGGCGGTGAAAGCGGGAGGAAACAAGAAGGATCGTCAGTCGGGCGCGGGGAAAGGACGACTAATCAAGGACTTATATAATCACAAACCCCTGACCTGAACTTTTCGTTGACCGCCACCAACGCCTCCGCAATGTCGCAAACATGGCTACAGTATCGCTCGTCCAACGCTTGAGATCGTCTACATTCGTCCTTGTTCTCCTAGGCGCTGGAATCTCAGCGCCATCCGACATCCCCACCTTCGCGGAGCTGCGAGAATGGAGAGGATACCCGTGTCAATGGCTGAATTCAGCCGCCGCATTTGAGCAACAGCCGGTGCTCGTCTGGTTCTTCTTCGAAACACTGCGCCAGATCATGTGTCGTGCGGAGCCAAACGATGCGCATCGCTCTCTGACTGAGCTTGCCGGGATGAAACCTCACCTCCTCACTATTAGTCAGAACATTGATGGTACCGAAACGTGGGTGTGCTTGTATTTAGGCATGTGCTGAGTTTCAGACAGACCTCTGTGAACGAGCAGGTCACCTACCACCTCAACTAGTTCCTATCCACGGCTCCATTTTCATGATGACATGCTCACGTCCGGGCTGTACCTACACCAGTCGCAGTCCCAGCCTCGAGCCGGCTGTACCGTCTTTGGTTTTGCCGACTTACGACATTTCGAATAGCAAGACACCTTTACCAACCCTGGAGATTTCTGAGCTACCGCATTGTCCCGCGTGTCGGACGCATCTGCTCCGCCGTGGTGTGGTGCGATATAGGGAACTGCTTCCAGCGGGAAGCTTAGATGCAATAGACAGGTGGTTTGGTGCAGTACCACGAGTCGACTTGATGCTTGTAATTGGGACTTCGGCAGAACTATCAAGCCAGTTCATTGATGATGCTCGACTCAGAGGGGCTTCTATTGCCCACTTCAATCTCCAATACCAGGATCAGATCGTGGAAGATGAGGACCTTTTCATACAAGGAGACGTTAGCACCACTTTGCGACGTGTTGTCCAGGAGCTTATAACAACGCCGGCGACAAGCCGAGCTTTACCAGACCATGGATGCACAGGTCATCTTGGAGAAGGTTTTGAATGATTACAGCTCCGGCACAGCGCACTCCGTCTATGATCACTGCAACATCAACGTCGCGTAATATAGGCTTCTGCAAATGCATCGGAAAGGCGGCCCAGTTGGACATCACTAAATAGACAACTCACAATTGGCTGATTCAAGCATTTTATGCACGAGGTTACGGCACTGACAGACTCTGCCTTGCCGTGATTTGTTATCATACCCAGTCCAGACGAATTCAACGTCAAGTGCATCTACTGTCTAACTACGTGTCGCTAGCGGAGCATGACTAGTCTGTCCCTAGGGACAATAGTTATATGCCCTCATTTCTGCTGTCCCCGGGGGCCGTGTTCGAAACTCAAAGCTAACTGTTGTCCCCGGGGACAACAGAAATGGAGTATCCGTCCTGTCCCCAGGGACAACGTTTGAAATTTAAAAACAGCTGTTGTCCTTGGGGACAGCCTTCTGCGGCCAGTTATCTTTGTCCCTGGGGACAAGTTTCAACCCTAACCCAAGGCCTTAAGACTGTTTTTCCGACATAGACT